CGCGCGCGCGTGTGTGTGTGTGTGTGTGTGTGTGTGTGTGTGTGTGTGTGTGTGTGTGTGTGTGTGTGTGTGTGTGTGTGACGCCGGCCACTGCCGCTGGCATGCGTGGTGGACGCCGCCGCCGCCAGCTGTGGCAGCCATGTGCGGGCTCTCAGGGGTGCGGTGGGTGCCGCCGGGGCGGCACCCTTCCGCTGCTGATCCTGGTTCGAAGCCGTGCTCCTAACTTTCTTGTTTTCATGATATCCCCCAGGTTATCAAGATCAAGCCGCCCATGGTATTCAGTGAGCCCAACGCCGACGCCCTCGCCGCCGCCCTGGGCGCCCTGCTGTCAGAGCACGCGGCCAGCCCAGAGCTCTGCGCGCTCGTCGCCGCAGAGGAGGCGCGCCTGTACGCGGAGCGCACGGCGCCGCTGCTGGCGCTCTACGAGGAGAACGCGGCTCGCATCCTCGCCCTCGGCGGCGGCGCCGCGGCCACGGGCGCCGGCGGCGCCGACGGCTGCGAGAGCCCGGTGTCGACGGCGGGCGCGACGGCCGGCAGTGCCGGCGCAGTCTCCTCTGCAGCCGCTGCGCAGCTGGTCGGGAAGCGCAAGTCCCTGCTGCGGCGGGTGCTGAGCTGGGCGAGCGCTCGGAGCAGCGAGAGCAGCGCCAGCGATTGGGAGCCCGAGGGCAGTGCGGCGGCGCCGGCGTCGGCGGCGGCTGCCGGCAAGGGCCCCGCCGCCACGGTGGCGGTGCGCGCGTGACGCGCCGATCTGCGTTCGGGAGCCGCCGCCGTGGCAAGTGTCTGCGCTTGGCTGATCTGATAATCCCATCTGATGACAGTATGGAGGTTGTTCGCGATTTGGGGAGGGGTGCACCCCACGCCCTGCCGCGCCGCAGCGGCCGCCGCTTTTGCGGCCGCTGCCATTCTTGCCGTTGCCATTATCGAGCCCCTGCCCCGCGATTGCGCTTTCTGCTGCCATTTCGGCAGCCTCTCCGCGGCGCGCGTGCATCATGCCAGGCAGGCGCGTGCGCGCTGCGTGTGCTCGCCACCCGCGCTCCAGAGCTGGGGCATGCCAGGCGTGCCTTTCGCCTGGCCTCTGAATTGATCAAAACACTTTTGACTTCCTTTGTTCGGAATCCAAACAGACCGGCCCTCTGCTGGCTCGCTACTACTTTTGTTGGCTGCGTGCATTTGTGTTGTTCAAGGCTCCAATTACAACCTCATAAGTGACCCAGATTGGTGGGTCTCAGAAGCAATGCCGGTCTGATGTGATGCGCAGTGCTCAAGAGCAGAGCAACGAGGCAAGCGAAGCAATTCAAGCGGCCGCCAGGGCGGCGGCGGCCCGGCCCGCTGCATTGCTGCAGCGCTCCAGAGCTTTCGGGCCCAGCGCTACTATGCAAGCGGCCTGGGTTGCTGGGCCCACCATAGCAAGGAATGGATGTGGAAACAGGGCACCAACAGAGAACGCCGCAACAGGCGGCCGACAGGTGGGGGCAGACCAACAAAAGTGTAAAGGCACCGCCCAGAATTCCCCGGTGCGTCCCCTGTAGTCTAATCGAAAGCCTCAAAGTGCAAAAAGCACAGGACCAGAGCAGCCCCCTCCACGAGTCAAAAGACATCGCATGCCGGCGCAGCGGCCGCCGCCAGCGGTGACACAGGCTGCTTGGGGCCCGCGACGGGCGCTGGCTGCGCCGCAGCCCTCGGCACACAGTCAGCCTGGCATTGGCCTTGATCCGTCAGGGGGATGAAATCCGGCGTGCCCGCCCTTTCAAACTCCACGTCTGCATCGTTGCCGACCTCGTCAGCGGGCGCGTCTCCCACCACCGCAGCCACGGCCGCGCCGGGCGCGGCCGCTGCCGGCGCGCCCATCGCGTACGCTGCAGTCCCCGCAGCCCCAAACCCCAGCGCCGCCGACGGCTGCGGCCGCTCCTGCTGCCCCGCGCCGCCCCGCCGGCCCGCCTTCGCGCACGCGGCAGCCTCGCCGTCGCTCTGCCCGGGCCCTGCCGCGGGCGCTTGCGGCGCCCAAGCGTCAAAGGGCGCGCCAGGCGGCGGCGCGTCCTGCGGCCGCCCGAGCTCGGGCTTGGCGGGCGTGAAGCGCGGCGGGCCGCCGCCGTGCTCCCCCTCACTCTCACAGACAGGCGTCACGGGGGCGCCAGGGCACCTGAGCGCCGCCTCGCGCCACTCGGGCGCAGACGGCGCCGTCCGCACGGCCGCCGGCGGCGGCCGTGGCGGCGCGCTCGGCAGCAGGCCGCCCGGCTCCGCGCCTGCGCCGTCGCTGACGGCAGAGAATGCGTGATTGGGCACTGCAGTGGGCGGGCAGGTGCGCCCGGCAGGGCCGGCGTCGACATCCATGGGCTGCTGCTCCTGCTGCTGCTGCTGCTGCTGCTGGTGCTGCCACTGCTGCTCCTGCTGCTCCTCCCGAGGCACCCTATCGGCGCCAGACTGTGCGCGGTCGGCGCCACCGCCAGGAGGCGTGTCGCGCGTCCCTGCCCGCCGTGGCCCCTCCCTTGCGTCGTCGCCGCCGGCCTGCGGCGTACGCGCACGCTCCGGCGACCGCGTGCCCCGCTCGCGCGCCCGCGGGCGCTCCTGCGCCGCGCCGCGCTGCAAGGCGGCGGCCCGCGGCGCTGCGCCGCTCTCCTCGCCGCGCCTGGGGCGCTTTGATGCCTCCCCGCTCGCGTCCCTGCCCAAACCCGCGCGCTTGCCTCCGCCGCCGCCGCCGCCCCGCGAGTCTCGCCCGCGGTGGTCCCCGCCGCCCCCGCCTCCGCATCGCTGCCCCTGCCGCTCCCGCTCCCACTCCCGCTCCCGCTCGCGCCCGCGGTCGTCCCCGCCAAGCCGCGGGTCACGCATCGGCGGCGGCTCAACGAACCGGACGCAGACCCGACCCTCACGCGAGACATACACACGGAAGCGCCCGGCCTCGCCGGGCGCCGCCTCCGCACCCACAGAGCCGGAGCAAGCGTCTGCGCCCGCGCCGCGCGGGCTGCGCGGCCGGGCACCGGCCCTGCCCCTGCTCCCGCCGCCGCCGCCGCCGCCGCCCTCGCCGCGCCCGCCGTCACGAGGTGCCTGTCCCCCTCG